ACATGAACTAAGGAGGAGTTCACAATTAATTATTATATTACAAGCTTCTTACGACCGGGCAGATTTTAGAAGCACTCATGGGGTTGGTTAGTTATCTGTCAACTTGAAATAGAAATTCAAATGGGACTTCATGGAAAAAAAATTATGCGACTTTGAAGATTAGAGAGATTCGGAGTATGAAGGGCATGACTAGTAATGAATAATGAAAGAAGGGGAGCTGTGTGCTATTCTATTTGGTTTGTCATGTATGAATGACGATTGTAGTCCGTTATATTCATGATCGGTCTAAATATTAGTTGGTCCCCAGCAAAGTGCCTCACGATTGAAGGGGGTAGTCCTGGGAATAGTTGGTGAAGCTCCCTAGAGTCTAGAGACGGTAATTAGAATTTTGAACTTGGCGATAGTGTCACAATTACGGATAGGCATTGGGAGCCTGTTCCACAATGAGCTCCAATCCGTAGGGGTTGAGTGTGGGGAAGAAACATGTTCAGCATTGTGGGTGGTCTTGGAAAAAATGTCTGTTTGAGATTTCTGCAATCGTGGATGTAGCTCGTCAGAAGTCGGTCTGAGATTAATGACCAATTAGAGAAGTGCATCCTCAGTCGTGTGTGCGGGCCTCATTGCTGGTATCTCAATGATGTGGTTATGACAAGTATTGCTAACAATACTTTTAAGGTGGGCTCTGCTGGTGGTCTCAGCTTTACCATATCTGATTTAGCTAGTATATCTGAGCTTCCTTTCAACAGTAATTGAGGAATGCCATTACTACGTTTCCGTTTAATTTACGAAAAATATCGTTTCGGGCAGGTACGTATATAATATGCCAACTGTCTTTCATGTGTGGTGGCATTTGGCCATGTTCCTTTTACATATGGATGACAGTGGGTGTGTTATATTAATGATTGGATTTTTCGGTATTTACGCTTAACTGGTTTTTGGCAAGAATAAGTTCCAGAAGTGTTTTTTATATTTCCACGGCTTCGAGTTCCCTCATGTGATAGTCGATGTGTTGACCATAGGGTGAACAGTAGTGTTGCAGACTCAAATGTCTTCGATAGACCCATCTGTACTGACCGACCAGTCCTTTTGTAGAGCACAGTCTCTGATTGCCGGAATATTATCACCTCAGATATTGGGACGGGGCGGAGCAGATACATACTGTATATTGCGTCCGAAAATCATGGTACAGTACAACATGATCACTGCAAGTTGGGGGAGGTAATAGTTGTCAATAACGTCATCACAGTGGTGTGTAAAGACAAGGTTCAGCAATCGCGGTCCGTGTTCGAAGTCACTGTGTCAATTTTACGAAAGATTGCACAAGTGCACACCGAATAATGGTTAACAGCAGGCTGCTAACAAAACATCCACCCGAAGTTGTAAACTGCATACAGTTGATATGCGGCGCGTTGAAATCTCCAACGATGAGACAACAGTTGACCTTACTTCAAGGACAGATATGACTAAAGGCAAACTCGTCAGCTAGACATCATGGACTACGGTACACTCCTCTTATGGTTAATAACCCATGTCTAGATTTAATTGTACAACGAGCTATAGCTATGCCAGGTATACCTCACATGTACCACTGTCATGCGTCTCAGATGTGCTCAATTGAACACGAGTGGTTCCCCAACATGTGATATTATGCCTCCTCGCGATTTATAACTCTGTCACTTCTAATATAGATGTACCTTACACATTAGAGAACAGTCTACATCTATAATGAGCCACGTCTATGTGACAACAATGATATCGGGACTTAATCCACCTACCTTAAAACTTGGCTCAGACGTTTTATTTCTAAGACTATGAGAGTTTGTGTAGTACACATTTAAATTGTTGTGAGAATCACTCGTTCTACCCATACAGGTCTCGGAAACATTGGGTTTCAAGACCTAACTATCCAAAAATCCTGGATCTTAAGGTTTGTCACGCTAGGCGGATCATGGATGAGCACTGCTGAGGAGTCCAACAGTGGGACGAAACGGTCGTCCAGTGCTTCCAGGTTTTCCATGGTTGTCTAGCTTCGATTGACTCATGGTATCAACTACTAAAATTATTATTATGTCGTCATTCAACCAAACAATCGAGAAATGCTGGTTTTACTAAAGTCAACATCCAAATATGATTGGATTAGCACAACATAGATTTGATTGCTCTACGCTATATATTCCCTTGATTATTACCTTGAGGAAGTCCAGACAGGTTTGTTGGACAAAACGTTGGAATTATATAAATTTCAATCGCTGAGATTATTTCAAATATAATAACTTTGCGCCCAGTTTTTGTCAAATTATTCGTTTTAATATTCACGAATATTCGTATAAAATATTGTTCACTTATATATGTTGTTCTAAATCACAATACGGGAATTTTTCGAAGTTAGTAAGATTTTGAGACAAACATTGTTAAATACCTAACAAAAAAGAGTAAACAAAGTTTGCTATAAAATCGTCAGTGCACCTTATCTAGTGGGGAAATTCATAAGTCAAGTATGTCAGAATTGAAGAGTGATGTCTACAAGGTGTGGTGGAAAAAGACCAACTGTCCAGTCGAGACTAATTCCTCTTGATCTCAACGCACGTAATGTTGTAAGATCCTTTCGGGTTGCGCATAAGAATCCCTTTTCATACACATTTTGTCCTGTAACTTGTTACTTTACTTATAAGTGTGAAGTTACTATTCGTACATCTCGTCGAGTTGTTGGTTGTAACTGAGACGGTACCATTTATTTTTGTTGTTGTAGTTTAAGTCGTTCTTACGATTCCACTGAATTCCCCTGAACTATTTCTAGGTTGTCTCACTTGACATTATGATTCTGGCGGCTCCCATATTGATTCGTTCACCCTTTTGTGTTGCTAGGACTGTACATTTATTGACTGCGAATTGAAATACACTTACAGGACACTGCGTCGTAATAAGTAATTCTTAATACCTTTGATATTGATAATTTTATAGAAATAATCTTCAAAATAAATTTGCCATAAGTAATCGGAGTTTGATAACGCCTTAACCAGAAACACCCTTATAATCGAAGTATGTCAACTCAATCATCAGAAGTGGAGTTCGAGGTTATATTTGGAAGGCTATTGGTATGTCGAAGGAACGTTTGGTCTAAGCTGGCTAGTTGTTCAAAGGGATTCGTAGCACAGCGTACTCACTCGCAATCTGGTGTGGATGTGTGACCGAGCGCCTTCAGCCAGGTGAGTCCAATAAAACTAATGCGGTCAGCGTCAAATGTCGAAGACTTACAGAAATATTGATTTTGGGGACCTGTTTACCGCTACAAACTTTTGAAAAAAATGTTTGTGATCTCTCCAGAAAGGACAGAATTATATACCTGCACCAATAGAAACGTTTATTTGTTGAAATTATTAACTATATTATGTCTTTTATTATTATTAGTAATGGCTTTATTCAGTTTATCTACTTAAAGCAATTTATATGTGATTAGTTATTGAATAACTTTGATGCAGTTTTGTTCTCTGAGTTAGATGTTCTGATCGTGGAGCTCTCATCGTTCTTCTGAACGACATCATCAGCACAAACTTCAGATAGAAGTGAAGCGTCCGGATTTCTCCATAAGTATTTCACAGCTTGTCCTGTACACCTCGATGTTGACTGGTTCTTGTTGACCTTAAATCTTCTCCACTATTGAATAACTGGATGATGATATTTGTTTAGGTAATAATGTGCATTTAAACTGATAACATTTAGTAGGATCATTCCCTACCCAAACACTTGTTTTAAATTTCGAATGGGCAAGAGCATGGGTGTCTAAACCGACCTCCGCAGTTAATTCCAAACCACTTTAGTTTGGAAATAACAAAACGGATATCCAAATATTTTGTTGACAGTCATTCGATTTCGAGACTGAGTTAACAACACATTTTGTATTCCATTCCAAGATTAAGAAATCATAACTATCTGGTTTCTTCAAAATGATCAGAACTGTTTAACGAATAATTAGAACACGCATCTGCTTGGGGCTTAAACCAAGTTCTCACAACTACTTAAATTCATCGATTATACACTATTATTTCTCGAAATGACATTATTAAGACGCGAGGGAAACTAACATATTAATGTCATTACTAGATAATCCTTAACTTACGAAGTGATGGTCAGTTTTCACACACTTGCTATTTAGTATCTCTCCAACTTGTTCGATAAAGATGGACAAAATTTTCGTCTTATTTAATATCATCGGCTATTAGAGTAATTTGATTCTTACTTGTTTTCCAACACTGGTGACCACAAAAGAAACAACACCAGTTTAGGTACAGATGGCTGTGAAAATGGTGGTAGTGACTTGAAACCGTACTGTGAAAAATACAGTGACATCCAAAGTTGGAAATAAACAGAACAAAACTAGATAAGCCTCCAGAAGTAGTGTTAAAATTATTTTGATATCAAATGTACGTTGATAACAGAATATCAAGACTGAGCTGTATGGCATGCTACGAGAGGAAACATTGATATAGGGTTTTACCTGTGAGTGTTCAGTTTGAGCAAACAATCCATCTCCCCTCAAAGTTCGAGTCAACGTTGCTAAAATGTGATGGTATACGGCTATCCACAAGATCAATGACTCCAAACAATACTGCTGTAGAAAAACTGACTAAAACTTGTGAAATATCACCATCGACCGAATTTTATATGATTAATAAACTTAACTATACATGACTGCATCGATCACCATAATCTGTTTAAGTCGTGAACTTTTTAATGCCTTTCTACACAACATTACCAACACTTCAAGAAGTGATCTATTCGGAGTATGTGGTGATCTTGTCTAGGAGGACAATGAAAGCTTCGCAACTAAACTATCCAGCTAAAAAACACTTTCAAAATCCTTCTAAGCTATAAAGATTCTCTTAAGTAGATGTCAACAACAATAACCTTAAGTATGCACATTTATAATCTTAGTAATGTTGAATACAGTCCAATGAAATAAAAATACAAAACATAACAGATTGATAAGTTAGTATACTAGAGCCCGTTTGACCAAATATATTGTTGTGGGATGTCTCAGACTGTGGCATAGAGTGATATCCTCTGATAAGGCATGGAACATAGCTTAGACAGGATCTCATTTGGAACGACTCCAAGTACTGAGACTACATAAATATACTGTGATCTGATCGCTGAGAACTGTCTCGATACGTAAACCCAGGTTGATATAGGATACCAAAAGGCGGAGCTCATCAGAACATATTTCTATGTACAATCATCAAGAATGAAAATCATTTACCGATAGTTAAATTCTATTTCATCCCAGCTTTCTTTATTTTAAAATCTTGTTTGTTTTTAGTCAATTTTAATGGAAGTTTTTTGCTGACTTTTGAGTTTTTCGGTTTTTCAGTGGTGTTCGCAGATGTTTTCATTAGCTGTTTAGGTACTATATGGTTGTTAGTTTTCTTTTTCGTTGTCTTTGCTTTTTGTTGTTTCTGAGAGATTTCTAAAGTTTTTGATAAATCAGTCATTTCAATATCAGAATTTTCTTCGAAATTCTCTGAGTCATTATCAACATCATTTGATAACTCATCCTCTTCATCACTGTACTCATCGGTAGAGACACCTTCTAATTCAAAATCTGGCAATTCATCTAGATCACAATTATTAACACTTTTATTATCTTCATCCATTAAAGCAGCTTCTAAATCAAAGTCGCTCTCATCGCTTTCATCAGTGTTTAGCGTAGGTTTGCTAGGTTCCTCGTTCTTACTATTCACATCACTCTTCTTTTCATGTTTCTTTGTCTTCTCCTTTTTAGATTTCTGCTTGACTTTCGACTTAGATACATGTGTTACTGTTTTACCATCATCAATATCATAGGATGAATCACTATGCTCGGAGTCAGAGTTGGAACTGTCAGATTCTGTTTTCCGTTTACTTAAATTGTAATCTGTATTTGGTATAGGCTGTAGAATAGAGGAAAATAATACCAATAATTATAAGTAAAGTTTATGGAGACTGCTAGCGAAAATACATTGTAATCATTTAGTGGTATGATGGTGCGGTAGCATTGTGGTTGAAGCATTTGGGTTTCAATCAATAGATTATAGGTTCAACTAGATAGTAATACTATTAGCTATCACATTTAAAATGGAACTAAAGGCCAAGTATATGAATCAGTAGTGGGTAAATGAATTACCAATAGATAAACAATCGTGCTTGGAGAGACAACACTAAGTTTAAGCTTCATCGAGAATATAAACACCGGAATCCAATTACATTTATTGAACCAGTCACAAACAGAACGGAACAGATATCTCGAGTCAGACCACTGCGCAGAAAATAGGATTATCTACGCATTCCATACACAAGACCAGTACTAATAATGGCATCATTTGATGCGGTTTCACGTAGTTGACTAGGTGTAAAGTGAAGCAACAAGCGTAAATCTAAAGGAGCATTTGATACACGTCCAGATCGTTGATTAAAGTTAACTAGTTGAAATACATCTAGCAATATTGGTAAAGTAGGTATTAATAAACGATTATCTGCAGATAAAGCTCTGCCAGTTAGTGGCAGCCGAAGATCGTTATTTTCCATCAACGTTTGCTTCCCTTCTGACAAGTTTGCTTCACATAGAACAGGAACTCCAGCCATGTTATGAAGCATAGAAATGCAATGAAAGTGCAACGGTAACCAACGTTGACCTTTATTTAACCTATTAGTAGGATAGATTTAAACTTCAGAGTTATTTCTTGAGGAAATGATGAGTTGAAAGTCAATTGACAAAAACGTTTCCATCTTACCATTTTAACAATTGGTAGTTTCTATAACGTGATCCAGACTGCGTATAGCACATTAATCGAGTATCCAATTGTGATGGAATGTCGACTACCGGTCGTATTATCGTATATCGTGGCGAACGGAAGGGCCTTTGTCCCACTTTTATTTCATAGGGTAATTCGCTAAGATCCTATCATACTTGAAGTCAAGTACAAACTTCTTCGATATGAAGATGAAGTAATGGTTTAATCTTACATGATTTTTTTTACTGGTTTTTGGCCACTGTCAGTTTTTCATGACAAAAAGGCAAAGCTTATGTTGTTACCTATAGCACGTGGGTCCAGTTTATTTGAAATTTCAATTGCATCAAGTGTTGGATATTTACAAAGCTCTTGTAGGAAGCCTGAAGCCAGTTTTCTTTAGGTTGGAACTTATTAATAAGATGTATCAGCACGTTAGGACAAATACTATTAGACTAAAAATGGCATTATTTAAAACTACGATTTATGGAGTTATTAGTGAGTTACTATGATTTTTACCAGTCTCGTGCTTTTATTTTGAACAGTATGTGAGCACTAGGTTGATGCGTTACAATAAATTGCTTGTCGAACCATACTAATTAATGAATCTTATGCGACTGAATAGTTGAAATGTGTCCAAATGTAGTGAAAAATGATACACGTCTAAACATTAAGAAGAGCCATGGGTTTTCGGGATTGCAAATCCTTACTATTGATAAATGCTAACAAGCTATTATTATCATTATTAGTAGTAGTATTTGAACACATAAATATTGGTACAAGGGACACCAAATACATATGAGCCACACAGATCTCATTTGATTTGTGTGAGGGCTGTGATACTGCTCGGGTGCCCAAACCGAAGCAAGTGGTTTTCTTAGGAGGCCACACTCGGAGCCTTCGACCTGAAGGTCTGATCCACAGGGCAGTGGAGCAACGTCAAGAGATGCAGTCTCATGGTAGCCGGTGACCAACGATTGGTTCATACGCCATTTGTTCCTTTAGGATACTGGAGCAAGCCCATGTACACCATTGGTTTGGAATCAGGGTTTTACAACTCCCTTAGGTGGACTCTCCGCGTCCACCAACCCGGTTAAAGCGACGGACATTCGCTTTTCGTCCTCTCGACTTCGTAAACAACACCGCCGTCGCGAGAAGGCAGTGAGTAAGACTATCCTGTCAGTGGTTGTATGCACGTGTCCATGTGAGATCATTTCGAAAGGGAGAGCGGACTTTCCACACTCTCGGCCGTACCAGGGCATTTGGGTGCAATCCTAACAGTTAGATCTTCGTTCCATTGGTGAATGAGTTTACCTACAAAATTCATAATATCCAATCGCTTATTTATCGAATGATATCTAATCGATGTTTATTTTTGTGCCTAATATTTTCTATATAAGCGTGTTATTCTGCTAAACATAAAATTGGGAATACCAAGTAATATCCTTGTACATGAGAAATAGTATTGATTGAAAGAAAGATTAAAAAAGAAAGTCAAATCTCTGAAGAACTCGAATCAGTTAATCATTTCGTTATTTTACCGATAGAGCTAAGAGTTACAAACATTGATTAGGTCTCAATTCAAAATAGAATAATAACTTCTTTTTATTTGTGTTAGTTGTTTGAATCTTCCTGTTGATGTTTAGGATTGCAATCGACCAGTCGCTTTTGGTATATGCGAATCAAGTGCAGATTGCCTTGATATTTCCATTAAGTCATAAGTATTACAAGCAGTTTGATAGGGACTAAAAATGGAATGCAAGACGCACTTTCGTCCTTAATGGGTCTCGTCGGCCGGATATAATCGCATCCCACAGCTAATAGCTTGTACAACGGGGTGAAGACGGGTCCTGAATTCTACTACTAGCCACCATCCAACTCTGATTATAATGCTTGTGACTTAATGGCAATATAGAGACAATTAGGACTGGATGGACACAAACAAAAAGGGACTGGTCAATTACAGTTCTAAACATCAATAGAAAGATTCAGAAAACCAATACAAATGAATTTAAATTCTCCCTACTGTACAAGCCAGTGACTATCTGGACTTAATATTTAGGTGGATAGAGAGACGGAGTTCGAAGCGAACGGTACTGAGTTCAAGTCCTAAAGCGGGCATCAACTGTGGAATGCAGCTACGTCTAATCGACGAGTCCAAGACGGGACGGAACATGTGTCCTGGATCCCAATGCTAGCCACCATCCAAATCGGCTTTTAATCAAATTCTGTGCTTACCTGCTACTTCCATTAGCTTGCCTGGATTCACATATTAGATTTGCACATAAGGCCTAGTAATTAACCTTTTTCTCTATAGAAGAAACCAACGATAAATATCACAGAAAAATTAGATGATACAAGGTTACTCACTTCCTTTTTATTACTCTCAGTTAAGCGATTCAACTCGTTAAAACGAATTTGTTTGTGTTGTACATAGAATTGCCAAAATGGTAGAAGTTTGTTTGAATTATTGATAAAAGTACACGTCGACTCAATGTTCAGCTAATTAAAAACATAAGAGAAACCAAATACAAAGATGAAGTCGTTACATAAATCATAATTTTTATAGGCTTTTTAATATAATTATTATTGTCATTGTGCCCGAACACAATGCTGGCATTAATAAAGAGGTAATTTCACCGGTTATGAGTATTCATTTGGGGACAACATTGACCAGATACAAAATTGCTGGGCATCTTTGTTTTTGAAAGGCTGCATAACAACTAAATGACCCGAGTTAAAATTGACGTTGAAACGGCGCCATATATGAAGATTTGTATTATTTTCATTGACTCTTATAATACGTTGATTGATTTGAACTCCAACACTACTAACATACTCAAAAAGCTACCCAGATATACAAACTTTTCAATCATTTTCCGGTGTTACCACATGAAGCAAATGTGGGTAGATTGTTAACAATATAATTGGCGCAAACCTACAACCTTACAGGATTTTCACCTCCAATGTTTCGAGTTATCTTACGTAAGTCACCTTTGTCGGATATAGCCCGATAATGTGAACTAATTGAAAGGAACTTAATATATGGGATATTTTTTCCTGTACTGATAATGCAAATGTAATTTTCACCAACACAGTTATTGTGCTGAAACTATTTTATTCATTCTTAACAAAATATGCTAACGAATGAGAGTTCTCAGCAACAGGAACAATCTAATGTCGACTTTCAATTGCCAAACATGGTATTACCGATATTATTATTGGTAAAGTTTTGAGTTATCCCTGTATTGAAAGGCGAAACTGAGTTGTGACCAGTCGTTTTTAGAACGCGTAGGTCCTGTGCGGGTTTCCTGAATACAACAATTTCATCACAAGTTATTTAGAGTATCCACTCTGGACAACAATCCTGAGGTCTATGTAGAACCAATTGATTAGTCAATCCCAGATTGAAAGGAACGCAAGTATTAGACTTTATCGCTACCAACAATTAACCTGATCCAAACAAAATAATATTATTTGCCAGGTGACACAAAAAAGTGGGAACACCAGTCAACAAAATTATCATTACCAACAATGAACTAATTTACTTACCATTTCATTCTTACTAGCTAAATTCCGAACACGCCTTCGACATTTAATAATCCATTCTGAATGTTCGCGTACTTTAATCATTAAAGCTTTCATCTGTCTACAAAAACTGGCTACACGACAAACATGTAAGAATTGTTTTACCTAAAATAAATAAATAGAATGTACATTATATAATATGGTATGTCGTGACTATAGCTAATAATGATGGGAAAAAATAGCTTCAACTTCTACAATATTCATTTAGCTATAAATATTTATCTCAAGTTATTAGCACAGAGTTTGTAGTATAGGTACATCAATCTTTATGATGGCATAGCTACGGAATAGTGATTTAGACATTCGATTTTGATCATAGAGATATAAAGTGAGAACGTTACAAATCGGAGTTTTGAATACTGAGTAGCGCTCCTAGTCTTTTGTGGAACTGACTTACATTATAGTTACAACCAATGAACTTGAACCCAATTTTACTTACTAAGGTTCGAGGAGTCTGGTAAGATAACTAATTCTTATACGAATATATATTTTCGATGTGAGTGAAATATCTGTTCATTTATGGACTGATACACTAAACACGAATTTATTTGATTAGGGAACGTGGCCTTTTAAAATAGAGATCTATAGAGGTAACTAGTATTTGATTGTCTTCGTAAAGTTGTTCACATATGATGGAATCCCTGTTATCATATTAATTTTGTATTTCTATATTGATTTGATGAGTCAACTTAGGTCAATACACAGTTATTTCTAAGTCTAACGTTGAGCATGAGTGATTAAACATATGTAGGATACAATGAAAAAAATTTGTGGCTCTAGTGGATACTTTTGGTGGTGTTGAGTTCTCTGAGCAAGACTGTTTAATTGCTGAGCACCCATTGTTATTTTCAGCGCCTAATTCATGCATAAGATGAAGATAAATGCTCAACAATCAAACTACCTAGCTTAGAGAACTTAACACTACCAAAATATATACATGAATTCTTCAAATAAAGCGAAACTTGACAGACTCACTTCAGTGACCAAAGGCAGTGAATACTCTGGAAAAACAATTGAATTTGCATGTAATGCCATACATTCTGCTAATAAATCAAATACCCAACTAATAATGGCATCATTTGATGCGGTTTCACGTAGTTGACTAGGTGTAAAGTGAAGCAACAAGCGTAAATCTAAAGGAGCATTTGATACACGTCCAGATCGTTGATTAAAGTTAACTAGTTGAAATACATCTAGCAATATTGGTAAAGTAGGTATTAATAAACGATTATCTGCAGATAAAGCTCTGCCAGTTAGTGGCAGCCGAAGATCGTTATTTTCCATCAACGTTTGCTTCCCTTCTGACAAGTTTGCTTCGCATAGAACAGGAACTCCAGCCATGTTATGAAGCATAGAAATGCAATGAAAGTGCAACGGTAACCAACGTTGACCTTTATTTAACCTATTAGTAGGATAGATTTAAACTTCAGAGTTATTTCTTGAGGAAATGATGAGTTGAAAGTCAATTGACAAAAACGTTTCCATCTTACCATTTTAACAATTGGTAGTTTCTATAACGTGATCCAGACTGCGTATAGCACATTAATCGAGTATCCAATTGTGATGGAATGTCGACTACCGGTCGTATTATCGTATATCGTGGCGAACGGAAGGGCCTTTGTCCCACTTTTATTTCATAGGGTAATTCGCTAAGATCCTATCATACTTGAAGTCAAGTACAAACTTCTTCGATATGAAGATGAAGTAATGGTTTAATCTTACATGATTTTTTTTACTGGTTTTTGGCCACTGTCAGTTTTTCATGACAAAAAGGCAAAGCTTATGTTGTTACCTATAGCACGTGGGTCCAGTTTATTTGAAATTTCAATTGCATCAAGTGTTGGATATTTACAAAGCTCTTGTAGGAAGCCTGAAGCCAGTTTTCTTTAGGTTGGAACTTATTAATAAGATGTATCAGCACGTTAGGACAAATACTATTAGACTAAAAATGGCATTATTTAAAACTACGATTTATGGAGTTATTAGTGAGTTACTATGATTTTTACCAGTCTCGTGCTTTTATTTTGAACAGTATGTGAGCACTAGGTTGATGCGTTACAATAAATTGCTTGTCGAACCATACTAATTAATGAATCTTATGCGACTGAATAGTTGAAATGTGTCCAAATGTAGTGAAAAATGATACACGTCTAAACATTAAGAAGAGCCATGGGTTTTCGGGATTGCAAATCCTTACTATTGATAAATGCTAACAAGCTATTATTATCATTATTAGTAGTAGTATTTGAACACATAAATATTGGTACAAGGGACACCAAATACATATGAGCCACACAGATCTCATTTGATTTGTGTGAGGGCTGTGATACTGCTCGGGTGCCCAAACCGAAGCAAGTGGTTTTCTTAGGAGGCCACACTCGGAGCCTTCGACCTGAAGGTCTGATCCACAGGGCAGTGGAGCAACGTCAAGAGATGCAGTCTCATGGTAGCCGGTGACCAACGATTGGTTCATACGCCATTTGTTCCTTTAGGATACTGGAGCAAGCCCATGTACACCATTGGTTTGGAATCAGGGTTTTACAACTCCCTTAGGTGGACTCTCCGCGTCCACCAACCCGGTTAAAGCGACGGACATTCGCTTTTCGTCCTCTCGACTTCGTAAACAACACCGCCGTCGCGAGAAGGCAGTGAGTAAGACTATCCTGTCAGTGGTTGTATGCACGTGTCCATGTGAGATCATTTCGAAAGGGAGAGCGAACTTTCCACACTCTCGGCCGTACCAGGGCATTTGGAATTGATTATCTACCTTCTCTACACTTTTGGTCTAAACAGTGGTACACAGTGGAGTGCCCTGTCAACTATGTCAATCGCTAAGCTAAATTCGCATATTTCTAAAATTTGATTACCCTTGATCTCCACAATATTTTTATTCCTGGATGCCACTTAACAGCTGTGTTGCGTTTATAAGGCTTAAATTCACAACATATCTAGTCTGTGATTTGTGTCGTCGCTGAAAATTTTGATGTCTGCGAAGGGTTGTTGACATTCAGTGGCGACACCATGTTAGTAATGCAGAGGTTCGGCATCGTGTGTTCGGACATAGAGACGATAATTCAATTAGTGTCACTATCTTGAAACATAGACTTCGGTGGCTTGGACATGTTCTACGAATGTCGTCCCAGAGAATTCCACGTCGTACATTATTTGCCGACGCTTAAACTGGTTGGAAAAAGCAGAGGTGGTCAGTGCACGACATGGTGTCGTGGCGTGAAAGAAAACTGTATAGAACTGGCTTCTGTTGGTTTTTCACAACTCCCTTGTTGGGATCCTAGGAGTGGTGCAACACAGTGGCTAGAGACGTTATCAGATATGGCTCACACTAGAAGACAGTGGCGATCCTGATATGACTTTCTTCATAAAAGTGAACGTACGTTTTTTAAGTGAAAGAACTCTTCCTGGTTTTATTTTTCCTGAGTAAACTGCTTCTTCTATTATTAGTTCCACTTTCATAAACGAATTCATGTTCATTGTTGCTCTTCTTTTCAATATGCTCACCCTCTATTATCTATCTTTTTACTATCTCATTGTTGTTGTGTGACGCATATGTATTTAGTACCTCCTTGTACCAATGTTTATGTCCACATATATTAATAAATAAATCCGGCGAAACATAAACTTGAGCGTGAGTTTAACAGAAAATAGAGTGAAAAAAGGATTTAGTGCCGATTTACCTATTGTACTTGGAAGACAACATACGAAATGCAACGATGCGATAGATTTACTTTTAAATATGTTACACTACACACCAACTATTGATAGGAAATATGTATTGTCATAAGGCATTCTTACATTATCAAGTGTCCTGAAACAAGTAGTTTGTGACCGGACCGTTTTTAAAGATGTGGTTCTCAGGAGCCCAAATAATTAACTTATTAACAATGACACACTAAAAAACATTAAATTTAGTGCAAATAATTCCGACGAGACTATAATTTATGGACGAACCAATTACGTATAAGATAACAGGTCTTGGATTTTCGCGCGAAATGCACTCATCTAATTGGATAAATAGATTTTTTCCATTATAGCTGTCAGTTAGTGATGAGAACCTGAAATCTAATTTCTAACAATAACCATCGACTTTAAATTATAATTCGTCACACAGGTTTATAACCCTCATTTGGTCCTGGTTATAAAGTGGACACTCTCAAGGTCAGTCTAGCGTCGCTCAAAGGTCGTCCGTAAATTAGTCTCACCACAATTCCAATTAATTGCATACCACTACTAATCAGGGATCAAGAACACTAAATCTATTTCATATATGTAAAAATAGTCTTACTTGATTGTTCCATATACCAGTTGGCTTAGTGGATGAATAAGTGACTTTACTAAAGCATGGACATCTGCGTATTTTGAGGCGAAATCGCACCATAAACGAAGGCTACAAACAAACTGCCAGTTAGCTACAGACTGGATATCTTCCTGGAAATAAATACAAAGTGTTACCTCTTGCTAAAAATGGACATAGTAAAACTCTACAAACAATAATGCGAAATAAAACTAGTTTCACGACAAGCAACATTACACAGACATTCAGGTAATATTGATCGCAAGACAGCAACTAGTTCAACTGGAGAAATGATTTACAATATACCAAGCTACCTACATGAATGGCCGGAAAACCGATTCATATTTTCAGGAACGAGGCAAGCCAAAAGTTCTTCAGCCGTTACAGGTAAAAACTTCAGTGAATGAGAATATTTACTTAAAAATATTTGCTCGTCCATTTTAAATAAGCCTCATTGATAGTAAATGTGATGCCATAAATCAATTCTATTGAGCATCACTTTTCGAAACATAATTTACGTTAATCGGAAGCAAAAACATGTTAGACGAACTACAAGAGGAAAGCGAAATGCGACTAAAATCACCGACTAACAAACTCACTTTATTCTTAGAAGTATATGCCTTTCTTAGCGTTATCGCGAGTTGTCGAGTGTAGACAAAGGCATGTACGTATGCATCGTCCAGATTCTTACCGAAAAGTTCCAAGAGGCACTCACGCATCAAGTTGATCTGAGCAATGTTTGACGCCAAGACGAATTTACAATTTCTAACAAAGGCCACAAACATAAGTTTGATACACAAGCCGGCGCATTCTTTTTTTAACGAAAGGGCCTTTATAAGATTAAGGAAGGCCAAGAGTCTTCGTGAATCTTCATCTTCACTCCATGTTTTAACCATCAACTAGAGACTTCATTTTCAAAAAATAATTAGACAGACCTTGAAAAACTTTTTCTCCAACTTTTCATGCCTTAAAATCTTCGGTATTTTGTTATTGATGAGTCTGAGATCTAGGATCGGATTTTTTAGCGATGACTTTAACATTCCAATGGAGTTGGTGTGGTGCCTTAACCTTGAGTTTTAAACATTTAGCATGCGATATCCAATATCTTTGTCATGAAACTGTACAAACTAATCGGCCTTTTCACGCTCGCTTCTTGATGATTCTGTGTAACTTCAGATCTTTTACACCATTCAGTGTGTGGTATTATAGCCATTTGACTTCAACAATTCTACATTTTCTGGCATTTATTTATGGAAATATTTATCGTGTTATGTTCAAATGGTTCAAATGGCTCAAATGGTTCAAATGGTTGTGGACGGAATAGAAGAAGTTTTCGCTTAACAGGCTTCCGTGTCTAGTAGCAGGGGATCACCAAATCCTCCATGCATGAACCTAGGTTTGTTAACAATAAAAGAGGAAAAGAAATTGGTAAATCATAGTGTGATACTGTCCTTGGTCCTTAAGAATAGGTCAAGTTGCCTCTTGAAGAACTCCTGAGAAGTCGCTTGGACTAGCTCGGCCGGCAGCGAATTCCACCTTTTGACAACTTTTAAGGAGTACAAGTTGTGTCTACATTCCGTCTTGCTATGTTGAGTTTCCAGTTTCTGGGTGTTACCCCTTAGGTTATTATTCGAACTAAGCTTAAGTAGGTGTTTAAGAGGATGTCCAGAAGTGTTAAGAATACTATAAGCCATTAACAAATCACCTCTAAGACGCCTATACTCTAATGGGTCTAGTGAATGGAGGCGTTCTTCGTAAGGTTTAGATTTGAGTCCTCGAACTGATTTCATGGCTCGCCGTTGGATACGCTCCAAAGTTACCTTGTCCTTTTGGAGTGATGGGGGAGTACTATGTTTCCGTACTCTAAATGGAGACGGATGAAACTACTGAAGATTGTATGGAAAGTTCGTCCGTCAAACTGTCCAAAAATGCGTTTCAACGTTACCAGTGCAAGGTTTGCTTGGAAGGCGTTTTTGTCACAGTTAGCGTAAGACTTTAAATCATGGGGCACCAGGACTCCTAAATCTTTTTCGACTTGGGATACTACTAGAGAGGAGTTTCCTAAGTTGTAACTGTAGTTTGTGACATGTCGCAGATGGACTACTTTACACTTTGAAGCGTTAAGGGTAAATCCGTTATTGTCTGCCCAACTTTGAAGTCGAGTCAGATCATCCTGAAGTGTCTGTATATCATCTTGGTTGCGTATCTCTCTCCAAAGTTTCACGTCATCGGCAAAAAGTAATAAATCTGACGTTACCTGTTGACGAAGATCATTTATGTAGATCAAAAAGAGAAGAGGCCCTAATACTGAGCCCTGGGGGACCCCACTGGGACATTCCATAGCCTGATATAAAGTGAAATTAACCCGGGAAGTGATAACCGCCCTCATACCTCTAACAGCACCCAAGACCACTGTATTCATAATCAACCATCCTCTTCAATTCCTATTATTCCTCCTATATCGACTTTCAACTCTATATTTCCCCTCTCGGCTTCCACCTTAAGTGTCACCATAGCCAACGATTCTAGTGCTCAGAACTTTGTCCCAGGTCTTCTGAAACCTCGCTCCAAACTACACATTGGAGCTTTTGACGTACGCACTCTATGTCAAATCGGTCAGCAGGCTTCCTTGGCTAAAACCCTAGAGTCTCTTTCCATTGATGTATGCTGTGTCTCCGAAACACGCATACAGGATTCCAGTGTGGTCATTCACTTGACCTCACCTCGGCAAAACGGAGAGCCAACGAGATACGCCCTACGTGTATCTGGTGACCCGATGGCCAGTTCTCGTGGACTGGCAGGTCTAGGCATAGCACTAAGCATGAGGGCGGAACAAGCACTGCTAGAGTGGATCCCCGTCAACAGTCGTCTATGTGCTGTTCGGCTAAACGGCTCCGTAAGAACTCGGAAGGATAGGGACACACGTCGTTGCCTTTTTGTCATTTCTGCCTACGCTCCCACTGACTGCAGCTCAGATGATGTGAAAGATGAATTTTACAGAAAGCTTTCTGAACTTCTTCAGAAAGCTAAACGCTCAGACATAGTACTCGTAGGGGGTAGCTTTAATGCTCAGATAGGTAGCTTAAACCACACAGAAAGGCATTTAGGTGGATATTTTAGCATTCCGGCACAGCGAACAGATAATGGTGATCGTCTGCTTCAACTGAAGTAGGTCCCCAACTCTTGCTGAAGTTCAAAAGGCTATAGATAATCTGAAACGAGGAAGGGCTGCTGGTCCAGATGGACTGGCTCCAGTAGTCTTTAGGGATGGTGGTCCAATTTTAGCGATTAGGTTGACTAATATTTTAGCTAAGATCTGGGAGTTAGACGTTATTCCATCTGACTGGTCACAATCACTTATCGTCCCAATATATAAGAAAGGGTCAAAATCATCCTGTGACAACCACAGAGGGATTAGTTTAACTAATATAATATCTAAAATACTAGCCTCAATAATAATCAGACGCCTAAGACTCGTGAACTGCAAACACGAGAGAATCAAGCTGGCTTCAGACCTGGTCGTGGCTGCATCGACCACATATTCACCATTCGTCAGGTTCTAGAACACAGGCATACTTATCGACGTCCGACGATGGTGGTCTTGTAGAACTTATGGTCTACTATGATATTAGTACTGCTCTAATAATAAACCTAATCCTAAATTTTGTGGATTTGTCATGATATGACTGCCTAATCTATAAGATCTTACGTGGAAGTCACACCATCAACTACACCAACTCACTGTATCGTATCAATTACCAATACATGATGTAGAACAAGGTTAGGCTAGAGAAAGAACAATATATTTAATATGAAAAGAAGATATAAGGTAACATTCAGCAGAGACCACGCCTGCATGGCCGAGCCATGCCGTTCGATCAACTCTAGTCTATTCAATTCATTATTCGCGCCTTCTCCATCGTTAGGTATTTCTTCGCGTTAAATATTGAATACCTATTTTCCGAGTAATCTCGTATTCAGCTTTGAGGATAGTGTGGTTATGGTCCAATGCCACTACACTACTCTCCCACCAGAATCAACGTGGTGTTGGTTCGATACCCAATTGGATGAGACTGTAGTGTGCCGAAGGTTACCAAGACTAGTAAGAATCCTCCGGGTGATGACAATCTGAAAGATAAATCAAAAGGACGACGGCAGCATCTAGTCGGGAAATACATGTAATAATTTTAAAATATCTGCCTTCATGTTTAACACGCTTACAATGAAAATTTGAGTGATTATTTGAGCTATAAAAAAATGGAATTACAATAATAATAATAGTAATAATAAAACGATGCGTGTGTAATAGCCGTTGGTTGATAACTTAACGTATAAGTAGTATGTATTTTGTGTTTAGAAATATTAAAGTTATGAATATTGTAGAAATGTTAATATTAGTACTACTTTTAGTCTAACTTATGAAATCAAATAACGATTATGCCGGTAAGTTGTCCATATGAGTCGATTTCCAATTGCATCTGTATTAGTAGGCTAACTGAAGGAACAAAAGTATTACCGTGGAGAAGAATTCCAACTAGTGTTCCAGTTAGTTTGATATGGTTTGTTTAGTTACGGGGAGATTTTCTCAACCTCATTTTTACTTGACCGTGATAGAATTTATTAATACTACTAATACACATGAATGGTTATCAAAACAAAATTTAAATACGTGAGTGGTAATTATGTGAATTTTGGACAGATAGCTAGGAACAAATCGTTAAACATGAGTGTATTCTTAAGAGACATGCTCTAGACTCAATGTTCTGATCTGCGGCAGACTATTTATTTATATCTATACTTGCCGGCTGATTGGGTATACAAGTTACTTGAAAGTATGCAGTTTATCATAAGGCGGAACACGATTTAATTGAGATATAGTGGTTATAAGTTATTAAAATCAGCTAAGCCCATGTGTCATATTACTAAGTGATGTGCTGCAAGATGTATTTAGCTAAATAATTTTTTTACAAGATGAATAATAGTGAGTGATGCTCATGTGATTATCAGGGAGAACATAAGTTGTAACCAAGGGGAGTACACTCCTAACTCATGCCTATGATAATAGCTTGAACCTTAGTCAGTGTTGGGGTAAATTCGACATTGATGTTTTCAGTTCGCAGGATATTTGCTCGACTGCTTATACTGATTATTTGCATGCATGATTGTGTCGCTAAACCATCAATTAGACTGACAAAGTTTTGAGATATTTACTGAATGAGCAACTGATAGAGAAACATACTGTAATCATCTGTAGTGAATGAAGAAAAACAACACTAGTGATAATTATAAGTCAATTTGCTGACCGATTTTGTTAATAGTTTCATTAATTTTATCAATCATATTACGTGATTGTCAAGTCATGACAATGCTTTATGAAGATATCCTGAAACTATTATGTTTAATTAGTTATAGTGTTGATTGAAGATTGGCCAGTGGAAAAATAGGCATTGTTGTTTTAGGTGATTCAAAATTATCAGAAATTTATAAAGTTAAAGAATCCGAGACGCCTAATTTAATTATAAACTCAATTCAGAAATATTTGTTTAATGTTAATTCTAGTAGGCTACGGAGTTTAGATTTTAAAAGTTTGTTCAACCAACAACTACCTGAGGATTTAGTAATTTTACTAGTGCAGTTGATAGTACCTAAATTTTTAGTCTTATTATCTAAATTATGTTTGCATTTTAGACTGCTAATATGATAAACCAATCCATAAATCTAAATACGATTAGCAACAACGACTATGATGGGTTTATTAATAAATGTTAGAGGCGATCCAGATGATTTCTAAATTTAGAAGACATGGAGATATAGTGCAACGCATGTACGGGCCAGGGTAACATGCAGGTTGTTGACGTATATGACGATTTAAAAATAATGAACATGACCAGAAAATAATTTTCAAGCTAAGACTGCTTATAAAACTCCAGGCAGGAATATTACGCGTTATAAACATTCCGTAAGAAGGTAATGCATTTAGCCTAGGGACACTTACAAATATATGGCAAAAGCATCTGGAAAATATATACATGTTAACTACAAAAAACTCATCCAGTAAAATAGTTGAACTCGCCTGGGTTATTTTTGAAAATTAGATTATTCAGTGGACGACATAGATAACGCCATTCATGAGGAGTAGAAATTATCCAAAAGTATCCACAATAAAACATGCAGTATGGCAATTAATTCCAGGGTGCTTGATGCTGTTGATGTTTTAGCCACTCGCTCGGATCAAAACAATCGAAT